AAGAGTGTAATAAGGAATGGATACAGTACGGAACAAAACAATGGAAGATCAACTCACCTATAGAAGTGAAGAAGTCACTGTGGGCATACAGGGAATGGAAGAGGAAACTCAACAGGAACCAACACAAAGCCATCCTGAGAGAAACAGAGAGTGTCATATGGGATACATCTAACACAATGCAATGCATCTTCCTGATGATGTCGTAAAAATGTATTTTTTCTGCCTTTTGAGGTGTTAACACGATCAGATACGACAGCCAACTCTCAGGGCAAGGAAAATGCATTACTGAACCAACTAACACACTGAAAATACATTGAAAAATTTGGTTTTGGTTGCCAAACCCCCAGCGCACACCCAGTTGGATACACATGACCACAGAGTGGTCACTGCTGGATCAGACTTTCGGCACAAAGGTGGAATCCAGAGGGCAAACAAAGAGCACCACATCAGGCCTGTGGGAAAACCCCTTTTGTTTGCTTAAGCCAGCGTCAGCATGTATAAACAAGATGTCACTTTGTTTGTTGAAAAGGACAACTACGGCAACCAGGGGAAAGCCTCGGGGCAAAGAGAATGCCTCATTAAGACAAATATCCTGATTAAACTTACACACACTGAGAGATCCACACAAAGCTGTTACGCACAAAATCATAAGCACCAGTATTATCAGTATTGTAGTATTATCAGTTACAAATGTTGCATCTAAAATGCATATCGGAGTGTAATATTTTGCAGATGTGTCATAGTATGCAAAAAGCATCTGACACATGAAATATGCAGAAGTAATGCCCTTAAGGGACCTGCTCTTCTGTGCTTGCTCATGTGCTCTGCAGAAGGAACCTGTCTGAACCAGCAGGCATCTTGCATGAACTACTGGTAATACCACATGTCAGAATAAGATGAAAGGTATAAGATCATCATGAAGGATACAACGTAACACGTGAACTTGCATGCCTCAACATAAAGATCTACATAGAAATTAAAATCTTAAATCAAATAATTGACTTTCAAAGGTAACATCTAGCATTAGAACATCGTCAACTTTCTTTACTATTCAAAGACATCAAGGGAAATCAAGTCAGAACTAATTCCCAGAATAATCTCCTCTGAACCTCATAAACCTAAATCAAAAAAAAAAAATCTTAAACCTAATTTAAAGAAAAATCTTGATTTTCAATACTGTATTGCAATTACAACTTTTCAGATTTTTTTTTACTTTCACCTAATCAAAATTGAATTAATTTTTTGAGAATATTGCTGATAATTGTGTTGCTGTGGCTCAGTGGTAGAGCATTGCGTTAGCAGCGTAAAAGGTTGTGGGTTCAATTCCCAGGAAACACACATACTGGTAAAAAAAATGTATAGCCTGAATGCACAATAAGTTGCTTTGGATAAAAGCATCTACTAAATGCATAAATTATTATTATAATTAATTCAATATTGCTTCCTGTGTCCCTTAATATCACTTTCTATGCTACTATTACTATCCTGTTCATCTTTTGTATCCTTTTAACCAAAAGCCAGTTTGAAACAAGTATTAGCAGTGTGTTTGATGAATTGTCATAATCAATATCATCATAATATCAAAATGAGTTCACCATAACTGTCAAGTCCTCAAGCAATGGCTAACTTTAGTTTTTCATTCCCATCCTTTCAGGCACCCTGTTACAGTTTTGCCCATACTTGTCTGCATATCTTCTTATAGAAATATTTACTTAGATTACAGCACTAGTAAATTAATTTCTTACAAATTACATACAGCAATTCAAAAGATCCTGCATAATTACAGGAAAGACCCTAGTGGAGTGCGTGAGCTCGTGAGGGTCCAGTATGGAAGCCGGCCGCAGGTCATTGGGTGCTGAGCCACGGAACTGCCACGTCTTCGCCCCGCCCCCTCGAAAACTCGAGAAGAACCGGACTGCAAACTCTTCAAAAAGTTCGCAGACAACAGATGCGAAAGGAAAGGATCTGTGCAGCAGGACAGATGGGACTTTATAAAACACGGACTACTCTACTCACTTCAGCAGTGGGTCTGTCCATGAAACGTGCTTGAAGCAGAGAAACACTAACATATTTGTAACATATGGAGTTATGGAAGGAAGGAGGAGTTATGTTTGTATTGTTGGTATTATGTATCGCATTACATTTGCTCTACCGATGAAAAAAAAACATTGCAACAATAAATATTTTAATAATAAACCAAACGAAATTTCCTGAGAGAAGTTGGAAAGTAAATATCCTCGTACCTTTCAGGCTGTCACCGCACGCAGAGAAACAGTGAATCGACCCAGATGTTGCTCTAGTGATGCTGATGAGATGAGATGAGATGAGGAGCTCAGCATGGATGGAGAACTCTTCTGTGTTTACGATGCTTGTGGTGTGCAGCTGGGCTTTATCCGAGAGGCTGCACCGCTCTTTTTCTCCGGATTCCGCTGAGCTACGTGCAGAGTCTCACACACTCTCCCAAACTAATGGAACCAGATGGAATTGAACTGCGCATGCGCATAGTACAGTTCCTACATCTCATTCCATAAGGGCCATCCTTCTGATGTGGTACTTGATACAGCTGGGGGTGTTCATTTGTTCTACAGTTTGGATACATATTTAGCAGTTTGTACTGACATTGTATATAATACAATTATCCAACATATAGATTTTTTTTCTTTTAATTGTAGAATCCATTATGCATCCTTCATGAAAGAAATAGTTCACCCAAAAATGTTATGGATAGAGAAGCTTGTGGATTACTTACATTACTTGTGAATTATTGTGGTGTTTTTATATCTCATTCTGACAGCACCCATTCACTGCAGAGGATCAAGTGAGCAATGATGTAATGCCAAATTTCTCCAAATCTACATCTTGGATGGCCTGAGGGTGAGTACATTTTCAGAAAATTTTCATTTTTGGGTAAACTAATCCTTAAAAACCATGCCATTATGTGTCAAGGCTGAATATTTTATGCACTTATTTCACTTTGAGGTATTACTATTTTTATCCTTTGTATTTCATAGCTCTGTTGCATAATGAATATGCACTGAAAAAAATGGAAAGTCATTGTTTTATTTGTATTTTTTTTACTTCCAGATTAATGTTTTCTGTGCAAAAAAGGAGTGGATGTTTCTTTCTCTCTTTCTCCTCTAATGCTCTGTCTGATTTATAACAAACAACTGTCTGAGATTTATTGTGGGTTAAATAAAGTGGCAGCTGCTATTTATCTTTAAAGTTACTCCTGCTGATTTCAATTCTGAATCTGAATGAAACCTTTGCTTTCCAAATTAACTCTGAGCTATAAAAGAAGCAAATGTTTGTCACAAAGTCTGAAGAATGTCTGTACTTTTTCTGTTTGTTTGTGAAACCATACCACATAGAGACACAATGGCACGCATTTGTGTTATAATGACAGTTTATTGCACTCAGTGTATAATTGATGTAAAAATATTGAGCATTTCCAAATAATTTAAAGGAAATGTTCTGTATTATTTGAAATGCTCATTTACAAAATAAAAATGTTTAATGTTTTAGCACAATCCTTTGAGAGTTGTCTTCAATATTTTTTTCAATTAGTTTTTTTTTTAAATCAATTATGATTTATTGTAATACTCCTGTCATCGCAACACTAGCCAAACATCTGGCTCTATACTAAAATGAATTTGGCATGCTCCTGTGAGACTGATTCCCAACTTTTTCTTTATCCCAGTCCTCAGTGTCAATCATTAAGGGCAGAAAAAGGTCAAACACTGCAGACTGCAGCTGTGTATGTTCTGTGCTGTTTTTGTTTACTCTACTGATTCAAACTTGTTATTGCCTTGTTTACTAACTTTATTGCCTTTTTGTCAATAGATCTTTCTCCTATATTAGAAGAAGCTTATAAACCAAACATTTATATCATTACAAACCTAAACTAGACACAAATACATTTAGTCACCTTTAGTCCCTCATCCTAAAATAAAAAAAAAAGCATTTACTGTTTTGTACCTGTTTAAACAGTGAAATCCCATCAAAAACAATTACTTTTTTGAATGTTCATTGTTCATCTTACTAGTTTTGAGCAAATATGAAAAATTAGCATGAAGAGGATTCCTCCTTTTTATGTCACTATATTTTCCTTCAATATTTCTCGGAGATGTTATGTCATCCAGTGAGGTGAGGCGCTGACCAAACAGCAGTTCCTCATTGTCAGAGAGTTGCCGAAGAAACCCAGCATTTGGGGCAGCGCAAGCACGTCTTTCCTTCAGCCAACGAAAAGCATGTAGCAAAGACCAACGGCGATGCTCCATCAGGAATCCCAACGTCAGCACTGAGCTACGACTCCGGCCGAGGCTGCAGTGCACCAACACCCAGCCGCCTGGTGCCCCCGGTGCCCCCCGCAAAAGCCTCAGCAATGAACTGAGAAGCTTCTGGAAGGGCCTGCCGAAGATCCTGCTGTGCATCATCACATAGCCGTAGCCAAAGATAGCGTAAAACACTCGGGAAGGCATCTGAGATTTCAGCTGTGGCATTGACCACATGCCTTGATGTGGAGGTTTTTGATGATACGGTAGTCATGTGCCTGCAAGGCAGAGCCCTGGTACAGCGCCCCCTCCAGTATTTCAGAGGGATAGATGGTGAGGGAGCGACACTCTGACTCCAGTAGGACCATGTGAGGGGTGCACAGAAAGGGATAGAGAAAGTGAAAAGCAGAATAGCCCCCCTGGAGGATTACAGGGTCCATTTGTTAATTTATAAATGTATAACATCATTTATAAAATGTATGATTTAGCTATATTATTATTATTAATCATTTTAATTAGGTTTTATTTTATTTATATTATAAAAATGTTATACCTGGACTTTGGCCTTCTTCAGCGTATAGCAGTATTATAGAAAACTCCTGCAGCTGAACACAGCTTATCAAACAGCCCAGTTCTGGATGCATCACCGTCACACTGGCACGGGCTGTGACCAGATGACTCTGCTTATATCTGCACATGTATACACACACACTAGTTAGTTACCCTTAGTGCTGGAGAGTAGGAGAGTCAGCGCGTGCCTCCTGACTGCCAACTAGAGCACAAAGCCACATATACATCCATAATTATACATTATTATTTTTATATATTTATCATAATATTTGTACTTTATTGTATTTTTATTATATTATTTTACAAGTATACATTATTTTAACATATTATTTTCAGTGTTGTAAATAATGCAAAGTTATTATTATTATTAAGTCTAATAAAACTGCCCAATTAACATAATAATAATAAAGATAAAGATAAATAAAATAATTAATATAAATAGTTAGGTAAGGTATTACAATAACTTTTTGTTTATATTATTTAATATAATTAATTATATTTATAAATAATGCATTTATATTGATATATATATATATATATATATATATATGGCATAACATCATTTATAAAATATATTATTAAGCAATATCATTATTATAATTATTTTAATTAGACAGTTTTTTTTTTTTAGGTTTTATTTTATTTACATTATGAGAATGTTATACCTGGACTTTGGCCTTCTTCAGCGTATAGCAGTATTATAGAAAACTCCTGCAGCTGAACACAGCTTATCAAACAGCCCAGTTCTGGATGCATCACCGTCACACTGGCACGGGCTGTGACCAGGTGACTCTGCTTATATCTGCACATGTATACACACACACACACACAAGTTAGTTACCATTAAACTTAAAAGCCAGAACCATTCATGATCCTTTCACTGAATGTACATATCTATAATGTATATGTATGTATTTATGTGTATCACTGTTACCTCTCTGCAGAGCGGCAGTCCAGTATCAGTATATAATAGGGATCATGCAGTGAAGGTTGGCCCGCTTCAGCATTCAGGAGGTTGTATACTTGCTGTGGTGTCACATAACCTCTTTCTATATTTGCTTTGGTGCCCTTGAGCAAGGCACCGAACCCCCAACTGCTCCCCGGGCGCCGCAGCAAAAAAAATGGCTGCCCACTGCTCGGGGTGTGTGTTCACGGTGTGTGTGTGCACTTTGGATGGGATAAATGCAGAGCACTAATTCCTAGTATGGGTCACCATACTTGGCCACGTCACTTCACTTCACTATTAAACTTAAAAGACAGAACCTTTCACTGAACGTGTATGTTTATGTGCATCACTGTTACCTCTCTGCAGAGCGGCAGTCCAGTATAAGTATGTAATAGGGATCATGCAGTGAAGGCTGGCCCGCTTCAGCATTCAGGAGGTTGTATACCTGCTGTGGGGTCACATAACCTCTTTCTATATTTGCCTTTTCTGGAAGTGCAGGAATCAGAAGCTCTTTCACACAAAAAAATAAGAAAACACACACACACACAATTATTTTAACATTTATCACAGACAGTTCCTACAGACAATCAGTATAACAATGTATCTGATATACACACAAGCTGTGATTAGTCATGCAGCGTCTTTATTCTTTAGTTGTGTTGATTTACCTTCAGTGTTCTGAGATGATTCAATGACGTTAATTTGGGAGAGTTTGACAGTTCCATTCATCTCCCTACAGGGGGCGCTGTTCTGAACCTGCAGAGAGCCCCGAGAGCCAGTGGAGTGAACCAAACGACATTTATGAGCTCTGAGGAGAAGGAGAGGGAGAGGGAGAGGGGGAGGGGAGAGAATTCTAGCAATTGATGTGTAAACACTCTATATTCTAGCTAATGTAATCAGCAGTTACACACAGATCCTATCAACCACCAGAGGACAAGAGATGCACTTTAGAGGCAGATCAGGTGAAGTATTTACATTTATTTTCACAATTATATTTAGATATGTTCACAATTCTTTGCCAATGTCTGCTTTGTTGTTATTTTGTGAACAAATAATAATAATATCAGAAAGTGAAAAAAATAAAAATAAAATGTTATCAGATGTACACACCACAATGCCCATGGTTTTGGATGGGAGTCATTCGGGACCGAAGCTCTCTCTCTCTCTTCTATGGGCCCAAAGGTAAGAGAGAGAATGCAACCATCCTGATACACACTCAAACCAGCACCATGCAAAATACACACTGCCTACAGCATTTCTCTGCTCCGATACATCCAAAATCTACCAAAAAAGACAGGAATGTATGTAGATTTTTACATCCTTGTGGTTGTTAAATCGTTCTCTGCATGTCACTGTGTAAAAAACAACTGCTTTTTTGTTTTTTCCTTTCCATTCTATTCTCTCCCTCCCTCTTTGTCAGGTCCTTATTTTAGCGGGTTGCCGGGGTAATGCGGGACAGTGAAGTCCTCTACATGAGCAGGGGGTGAGCTGGCCATGACAGGTCAGAGTGTCACACGCAGACACTTGTGAATGAAAGTCAAATAACAAAATGCATATATATTTTTAATATAATACAAATTGTTTATTTATCTAAACAAACCAAACCTTTTTTCTGGGCAAAATATTTTTTAATACACTACTGGTCAAAAGTTTGGAATAATTATGCATTTTTAAATGTTTTTTAAAGACGTTTGCTCTCCAACGCTGCATTTATTTGATCAAAAATGCAATGACAACAGGAATATAAAATTGTAAAATATAATTACAAATTGCTTTCTATTTTAATATATTTTAAAATGTAATTTATTCCTGTGCAAAGTTACATTTTCAGCAGCCATTACTCCAGTCTTCAGTGTCACATGATACTTCAGAAATCATTCTAATATGCTGATTTGGTGCCCAAGAAGCAGTTCTGATTATTATCAATGTTGAAAACAGTTGTGTTTTCTTTTCTTTTTTTTCCCCTTTTTTTTTTTGTGGAAATCGTGATACAATACCATTCAAAAGTTTGGGCTAAGTAAGCTTAGAAAAAAAATTAAAATAATGAATTCAAGAAGGATGCATTAAATTGATCAAATGTGGCAATAAAGACATTTATAATGTCACAAAAGATTTCTATCTCAAAAAATGCTGTTCTTTTGAACTTTCTATTCATCAAAGAATGTTTCACGGTTTCCACAAAAATATTAAGCAGTAGGAAACAGTTTTCAGCATTGATAATAATGAGAGCCATTATTAATATTTAAACACCAACAATAATTGATCATAATTGAGCACTAAATCAGAATATTAGAATGATTTCTGAAGGATCAAAAAGTCCTGAAAATTCAACTTTGCCATCACAGGAATAAATTACTTTTTATCTCATACAGGCCAAATGGAACAAAAAAAAATTTTTCTAGAATATTTGGAATGACATAAGGGTGAGTAAATAATGACTTGGGGGGGAAAGTCCTTTCAATTATTGACCCACCATCACCGTGCCATTCCACAGTACTATGATGTCACCATATCGGTATGTTCTCACTGATATTTGACCTGATTAATAAGTGCTGGGTTGCCATAGTAATGTTGCATTGACTGTCTGTTCCATGATTCTCACCCACCTGTCATGGATATAATGTGCTTGTTTGCCCTCAGTACATTTCTCCATTTATTCTGTGGATCCAGCTGCTAGCCACAAAAATACTTTCATGTGTGCACGCACATATTCAGACAGAAATGTTTGTCGTATTATTAGTAATTAATCATGGACCTAATGGATGTTTTATTTACACTGTTGTAATGCATTCATTTGATCATAGGTCAAACTGGAAGCCATATTAACTTTCAAGCATAACATAAAAGGATCCCTATTCTTTTAATTACCTAAAACGACCGTAGTTGCATCCTGTGATGGTTAAGGTGAGTCACTCAAGTTTAGTCACTCTTAGTATATGAAGGTAGGACGCCACATCCAAATTCAATTTGTCACATCCTGTCTGCTGAGATGCCTTTATTGACCTTTATAGTCATGTCATGTCTTGGTTTTGGACAATTTATTCAGTGAATAAATAGAAATAACTAGTCAAAACTAATGGTAAAATTATGTTTTGTCATAATGTGTACTAGAACAAATTGTGTTGAATATATGATTTGTATACATTCATTTTAATTATTCTATTACTATTATTAACTAATTGCTTTGCTCTACATACCTGACCTTTAAAATGGCATATCCTTAGTTTTTCTACATATTTGTGCATTGTGTATTTATGCTTTTGCATAACAAATGTTTGGTTATCAAAGCAATAAAGGTTATAGGTTGAGGAGGTGATTGTCATACAGATGGCATCAGATGGAAAATTTTGGCTGACAAATATGCCCTTCTTCTGTCTGTTTTATATTTATAAGGATACCACTTCATTATATATCCAATAAAGAAACGAGAAGGGAATCCTCTTAAGTAAATAACAGCATGAGTAAAACTATAACATTTGGAGGCCCCAGAGCATTTTAGATGTAGCATGTATTCTCCTACTAGGCTACACAATATATTTTACCACGCCTAAAACGCCTAAATTGTTAATCACCTGCTGGGTTAATTGTGTGTGTGTAGTACACAACAACATAACTGCTTCGGCAATAAGAACATTTTTACCAAGCAACGTGATGGGCGTTCATGCTGCGAGGTGACGTATTCAATCATTAACTCCACTTGTCCTCCGGAGTCTATCGCAGGTTCAGATATATGCGACGAGAGAGGGGAAACGGAAGGACTAAATCCAGGATAAAAATAGATTTGAACGGCCACGGACAAACGGGTGAAAGAAAACCTCTCATCGACCACAGTTAGTTCAAATAATTCGTATTTTGACCTCAGGGTGAGAGGGATCAAATTTCACTCGTGCTCGGTCCCTCATGAGAGACAATCCGTGGTGGAATAACAAGATCTCATGACGACAAAAAAGATGTGAGTTGGTCTATCTTATCGTTTTGATATTTTATTTTTATTTTTACTTGTTTTGATTCATGTCTATTTTGTTTAGTAAAACAAAAAAAAAATTAAATGATTAAAAGGGCTTACTTTTTTCATGTATAATGTTCTATTGTAGTATTCTGTTTTTCGTATTTTCTATAATTAAATGTAAACTTTTAAAAAATATTTTGGACTTTGTGTTTTACATACAATACTAATTTGCATTACTTATTACAGGACAAAACAGGACATATGGCAACGTTTTTTGTGTTAATGGCTGAAATGAAGATTACATTGGGAAAAAAGAATGGTCAGTGTATTCCATGATAGCCTATTTATGCTGCATTTGATTTCTTGATAAAACTTTTTAAAGGGGTCATATGATGCGATTTCAATTTTTCCTTTCTCTTTGGAGTGTTACAAGCTCTTGGTGCATAAAGAAGATCTGTAAAGTTGCAAAGACTAAAGTCTCAAATCCAAAGAGATATTCTTTATAAAAGTTCAGAGTCAGCCACGCCTACCTAAAACGGCTCGTTCTAACACGCCCCCACATATCTACCTCACTATGTGGGAAGATTTGCATAACGCCTCCCAAATGTTCACGCAAAGAAAGAAGGTGTAACTTTTAGTCTCGCTGTAGTATTGTTGCTGCCGCCGCCATGTCGTGAAGACGCTGTGTGCGTCGTTGTGAAAGCGAAACTACTTTGTTTGGTCTTCCAAAAGAGGACGATATCCGCTTCGTCATGCCTAGAGCTGATCTGTGCTGGTCGCTGAGGGAATACATCAACTTTCACCGTGGACGAAGCGGAGTCCAACCCGGGGTCGTCACATGTGGTTGCCGCTCATTCGTCAGATCCGCCGGGCACGCCATTCTCGACCCCGCCGCCTCAGCTCACGCTAGCCTGGCCTCAGCTCACTCTAAGCCGGGGCTTCCCCTCACGCTAGGCCGCTGTGTTTTTCGTTGTGAAAGCGAAACTACTTTGTTTGGCCTTCCAAAAATGTCTGACTCAGGTAAGTATGTTTTCATTTAAAGGATTTGCCACTGATGATTCAAACGCGAGTTTTGGGCAGTGTAGAGTAGCACTTGTTGTTTGTAATTTCTCTGATCACAAATGCAGACAGAGTTTTATGTT